TTTTACTATGAATTTCAACTGTCGTTTTATCGTTATCCCCAAAAGCCTAAACGGATTGATCGATTTTCACTAACGATTTAAGTTAGGTTGTGTTTAGCATTATATATTGGTCATCATAAGCTCACTATACGTCCCCACCGAGAAGCTCGGAGCCTACCCTAAGTTAGGGGTGATTAGGCCATAGTCAACCACGCTGGCCCACGGGTTGGTTGACTTTACATATATCTTTGAATCTCTTCTCAGATATGTGCAGGTTGCATCACGATATTTTCCTTCAGCGTAAGAACGTTGGATGAATGTACTTATGTAAATCGTAAATCGAACAACACATTGGTACATGGCGGGATTTGAACCCAAGACCTACAGATTGCAAGTCAAGTACTTAACGTAATGTATTGGTATGTTAAGGATTTTTGTGTTGACTGTACAAGTATCATTTTAATGAAAACCGGCCGTTTTGTTGCGTATTAGCAGAGATTTGTCACAGAATTCACATAATTAATGTGGTTTCTAAGAAAAGTTAATCAAGTCACGTTGGCTAATCTACTTGAGCAAAATTTAAAGCAAAATATATTAAAATCAAGATATGAGTTCATTACATGTTCGATAAATTTGTTCGATTTCATACACGTCTGTATCATGCAAGTCTCAAAACAAACAGTCAAAGCTTAAAGCTCAATCAAAATGGATAGTACAATCGTACTTGCTCGATATCGATACGGAGCAAGTTTATCGTAGTGCGTAAGTGTGTATCCACAATTAATAAGACCTAGTTTTCCTAACATTTATATTTGTTTATACTTATTTTATCTAAACAGAAAACGCATTTTTTAATTATGCCAAAAGCACCAAAAGCGAATCCAAATGATGTATAAACACAAACAGTTTTCTAAATTATGTTAATATCCAATCCTAATGGATTTACGCTTTCAAATAATAATCAAGGATATATACGAAATTAGCTATTTATTTAAATTTTATTAGTATGTTGAAAAATCAGTTTTTTTCTTCTTTCATGGCAAAAACATAGCAACGCGTTGTAAGGAGTTTTATTAAAAGACAAACTCCTTGCCATTGAGTATGTAATCTAGTCTAGTTCTTTCTACATAACCTTTAATCCAACTCTTCTAACGTTGTGAAGAATCAAATTACAGATAAAAAATCAAGTCGGATAGGAATTATTTTATTTATTTAATAGATCGGCGCATAATTTAAGACCAAAAATTATCTACATTTTTTGTTGCTATGTCTGTATCTAGACTAGTTACGTCTGTTCCAATGTTGCCGCATTCTTAACGGTTTCACCGATTTTAAAGAAAGATGTTATTCGATTAATTGTCCTCCCCAATATGTAAATAAATACTATTAGTTGGGCTTATTTTTTTAATTTACTACCGGTTATCTAGAATAAATCCATAATAAGGATTAGTAGAAACTAAGGATGTGAGTATACAGAATATAAATTTGAGAAAATTATTTCTGTATAAACTTTTCATATTGTACGTTTTCCGGAAATTTCCGAAAAACAATCAGGAAATATTTGACATCGTTGGCATAATGTCAAAGGCCTTTGTCTTACGCAGAACTTAAATATCAAACACTAATTGATCGTAAATGATGATTCATTGTGTACGGCGTCCCTTTTAACCTTGAACTCTGTACTGTTTTTGTTTGTTGCTATAAGGCGGGGCTTTCATTAATCGGCATTAAATCTGAAATGTCACTTAGTATGCTCGAGTAATTAATTACTATTTAGCTTGTTCCAATACAAATAGAAATAAGTATGAGGCACAATTAATATTATAGTTGACCGCATAATGCGTATCTTATCTTAGTAATATTATAAATGAGTAAGTTTTTATGCCTGGATGTATTTTTGTTATTTTTAGAACATTATTTTCAAATTTCGCTTAAATTTTGTATAGATGTCACGATAGAACATGGTCTCGAATAATAAATAGGATATTAAATAAGTTTTTTAAGCGCGTTCAACTAGTGGCAGTCAAAAGCTGTTTTTTTATTAAAGACAGCATAAAAACAGATGAATTGGTATTGCATATTACGACACAAAATGTGGCGCATGTGTCTTTGAATACATAGCGACATGCGCCACGTTTGACTTTTATCAAGTTGAGTTACATAGGTGGATCGCTTTTACATAAACTGAACTTTATAAAAGTCAAATCTTAATCATAACAAATATCTATTAATCACACGTTAATACCCACATTATCATTCTTGCAACATGACATTTTTTTTATATCATAAGCTGGTAAAACGAGCGAGCGGCCACCTGAAATCCCTGAAATAGCGAAGTGACCGTTGCCCATTGACATACGCAATTGCGTATGCGTTGCTGCCTACCTTTAATCATCGGAGGAGAGGATTCCATTTCCATGCATTCTCTTATCCGGAAAGTCTCCTTCCACTTCCCATCCTTTCCTTATAAGAAAAAGTGTAGGAAGGGAAAGATGACCAAATTAAGCCTCCGGGACACAAACTCATCAGACGAAACGCGGAATTGCTTCCACTTCACGTCTGTCTTCTGTGTGGTCGTGGTATTTCATCGGGCGAGCCGGGCCATTTCGTGCGAAGATGTTAAAGCGGGCTCTACCACTGTTAATATCTGAATCGGAAATGTAAACTGTTTTAGGTTAAATAAAAAAATCTGTATTAGCTAATTTCATAGTAGTTTAAAAAATGCATTATGTTGCGATGTATTTTTAATATGTATTTATAACTTAAAAATACTTACCATTACGAACTCGACAAACTTTGTAATTGGTTCGTAGCGTAGTAACAACTTTCCGAGTTGTTTATTAAAAAAAATCTTCATAGCTTTTAACGATATCATTACATACATACATTATAAAAAAAAGATTGTCTGTGTCGAATGATTTCTCTACAATGAAAAAAAAACACGTCTTAATGTCAACTGGCATACAACAATAATTATTGACACGCTTAAATAATACGTTTCCAGGAATCAAAGATTTTATTAAAAAACAGTATAAAAACTTGGATTTTTTTTATTAATAATCAATAATTTCATTAAGAAATAATCCTTATCGAATATAAATATGCTTATTTTTTTATTCAACAACTTCTTAACATAACTTAAACTAGTTCTTAATTCTAAGATTAGGAGAGAATAAAATTACGCCTACTGCGATCTTAATCTTTATCTATACATACATATAAATAAAATTGGAATGTATGTACGTAATACAAAAAAGGTCATAATTCGTACACGTGATATTTCTGCGTTGGTGATAACGAAATATCAAATTTTTGGTCTGTCTGTATGTTTGTCCACAAGGTAACGTTTGTCACGGGTACTCTATGAAACATTCTCTACAAACTCGATTTAGACGCCACTTTAATGGATCTTTCATGGGGCTGATGCTCGCAGGCGTATTATATTCTACAGCACTTTTATTTTTATTCTGCGCTAACAAAGTCGACGGCGACTATTAGTAGTATCATAAAATTCGCATATTCATATTCTAATTTTACATATAATAAATAAATATACTAACGCTTAACCTCAATCCTACCGGATTTGTTTTAGGTTTCGGGTAGAATACCTTAGCACTCCACTACAGTGACAGTTGATAAAATATGTACATATTTTTTTTTATATTATAAGGTGGCAAACGAGCGAGTGCCCGTTGCCCATAAACATACGCAATTGCATATGCGTATGGTTATGTTTATGCACAGTAAGAAAAAATATTTTCCCTTTCCATGCATCCTCTCATCCGGGAAGTCCACTTCACTTCCCGTCTTTTCCTTATAAGAAAAAGTGTGGGAAGGAAAAGAGGTCAATATATTGTAATTTCATACAACCTCTTTGAGAAAACTGAGACAACAATACATACTTATTCCGCTGGCGCAGTGACCCAAAGTGGGTATTGGCCTCCGACACAAGAGATCGCCAAAGTCACCTTTCTTACGCCTTCTCTTGCCATCATCGCTTGTAGCTCCCACAGGTCCAGGTCTACGGCGTCTCGTCAGCGGTATCCGGGCCAGCCGATATATAATATGCCGTAATACAAAAAAGCACATGAAACCACTAAGGGAAACCAATAAATAAGAAATTTAATTGAATTAAAAAATCCACAATAAAGCTGGCCTCTTAGTTTTTTACACTAATTAAATATTGCATATTTATTGCAGTATGGAAATAATTTTTAATTTAATATGATTTTGTTTTCCGTTAATTATTATTTATATTTAGATAAAAATTGACTCACTATGTGGAATCTAATATATGTATCATAATTTTTTAAATGTCGTACCTAAAAATAGAAATACAATTTTATTCATAAAATTCGCTTATATATGTACATATATGGGTTAGGTAAAAATTAAATCAATGAGTTATGTTTGCTAAAATAATACATAGGGAAAAGGGAATCACGATGACGACAAAACTATTCTAGTCTTACATTTGTTAATTTAGTTTTTTTTGTTTACTTTAGTTATAATTTGTGGATGTTATGAAACAAAAACAAAGAAAATTTGACTAAAATGGAGTAACATTAAAAGCATAAACATAGGGGCTTTGTAACATTGGTAAAATTTAATAATATCTTATATATAAAATTCTCGTGTCACAATTTTCGTTCCCATACTCCTCCGATACGGCTTGACCGATTCTCATGAAATTTTGTGAGCACATTGAGTAGGCCTGAGAATCGGCTACTATCTATTTTTTAATCCCGCGCAGACGGAGTCGCAGGCGACAGCTAGTCTTTTATAAAAATAAATTCCAGCTTGATACCTTCAAGCGTTTCTGAGAAAAAGGGTCTTGACAGACAGACGGACGCAGAACAAAGTGATCCTATAGGGGTTCCGTTTTTTTTCCTATGAGGTACGGAACCCTAAAAACACTTAATACATATTATCTATTAACAGTGTAACATTCACCGCGTCGTATCAAATAATATATGCTAAAATAATGAATCTATAATACGCTATATATTGTGTGGTGTTCAATAATTTCCAATCAGACGATTTTTGGAATCGCATCGAGAAGCACCAGACCTTCTATCAAAAATTAAAATGTTACGCAACACTTGCATATTTATTCTTCTTCTTTTTGCATATGTGGTCGGCGACTCCAGTACTTACTTCGGTATGATTTTTATGGTATAAAATGAAACATTTCCCTTGGGTTTCTCAGATCAAAATCTTTTTATAAAACCTATCGTGATCTTTAACAAAACTGAAACAACAATATGTTTTAAATGGTGATTCTGGTGTTAGTAACCCATGGTTAAACTAATAATTAACTAATTTTTTTTCTATTTTTTTTAAGCCCCTTTTCTGAAAAAATGCAAATTAAATGACAATGAGTGCCGGTTGTCGTCCAACCTACAGATTGCCATGCCATATATCGCGGAAGGGATTCAAGAGATCGGCATATCCAGCACGGACCCACTGATTTTGGAAAATATAGTCATGGACACAGATGAAAGTGTATTCAAATTTGTCTTGCCAACTTTAAAGGTACAAGGTGGTAGAAAGTGCAAGGTGGCTGATTTTAAGTAAGTTTTATTATTATCATCTTATCTTACTAATATTATAAATGCGAAAGTTTAGAAGGATGGATGGATATTTGTTTGAAGTTATCTCGGAAACGTCTCACCGTATTTTGATGAAATGTGGCACACATGTAGAACATAGTCTGGAAGAACACATAGGCTGCTTATTAAGTTTTTTTTTTTTTAATTCCGCACGTTTAGATCTTTTGATATTATTTTTATTAAAAACGAGCTTGTTTCCTCGTGAAATCTTATACAATGATTAAAACAATTTTTTTCCCAGAAACAATGCCGTTTGTAATCTTTATATTTGTCAAATTTCATCCATTCCGTTAAATAAGTCTTGTGTAACCTAGTAACAATCATCCATCCATCTATCCAAACATTCTCATTTAGAATGTTATCAAATAAGTTCTTCAACTTATTACGATAAAGATTGATGTCCTAACATTATTTATTGTTTTTTTTCTGTATTATTAGTATGGGAAGTGTAATAGGACTTTCCGGATGAGAGGATGCATGGAAAGGGAAAATATTTTCTTTCTGTGCATCCTCTCCTCCGTCGATTAAAGGTAGGCAACGCATATGCAATTGCGTATGTCTATGGGCAACGATCACTTCGCAATTTCAGCGATTTCAGGTGGCCGCTCGCTCGTTGGCCACCTCATGAAAAAAAAAATATCCTAAATCTACTAACTATTCTAGGATTTTCTTTAAATAAATAATAAATCAATTGTATTCTTTAACAGGCAAAATCTTGAGGAGTCTACTATGAAGTTGACACTCGACTGTCCATTCTTAGGAACAGGCACATACAAATTTTCAGGACAAATGAGTATATTTAATATAGAAAGGGAAGGAGACTTCAAACTACATACAGGTAATTCTAAATGACATTTAATAAATTTAAAAAAATATTGAAATTTTCGTGAGACATTATTATAAACTAATATATAAACGGCTACATATATAGGTATACTAGCAGTCGCCCGCGACTCTGTCCGCGTGGATATATAAAAAAAACATTATCCATCCACATCACATCCATCTAAACATTCGCAATTATAATATTAGTATATATAAAAAGCAGCTCTTCTAAGCATAAATTCGAAAAAAATGAATAAATAGTATCAAATGTCCGTCTCCTGGCTCTAAGCTACCTCCTCAATAATTTTCAGCCATATCGGTAAAGCCCTTCTTGAGTTATAAATAGTGTAACTAACACGACTTTCTTTTATATATATAGGTAGGTATATATATTTGCACGCGGTGTCGACACCGGACAAATAAACGTGTTTTAGACTACCTTATTACAATACACTTTAATCCATAGGATTTTATAATAATTCTTCAACAATACCAAATTTTAAATGGAATAATCATAAAAATAAAGAACATCATGAAATAACAAAACCTAATGTTACATTATGATTTCTTATCCATATTCAAATAATGCCATTTGTGATATCAATATGTTAATTTATGATTTTAAATTCAATAATTTTCTCTGCAAGTACGAAACTCCCTCTTCTATTTATTTTTTCTTTTATACCAATAAATTCAATTTAGCATTATAAAACTCTGTCTTTTATGTTTTTTTTACAAAGGTCTTTATTCATATAAATATTAATTTAAGATTCAATGAGGACGACCATGACAATCAAGATGGACAAAACTATCGTCAACGGAAAGAAACATTGGAAGCTTTTGAGTTACCAATCCGCAAGCGAGCCTTCAGAATCTATGCATATAGAAATTGACGGCCTCTTCTCCGGTGAATTGAATAGAGGTATTTTTTGATTTTTTATTACTATAAATAATGGCACACGAGCAAGCGTGCACCCAACTAATAGACAAGTTGATGCGGTGTTACCTTAAATAGACGGAGGTAGAGATGCACAGAACGAGGATGACTCTTTCCACTAAGTCCCCTATCCTGGCAAGTAATATTTTTCTTCCCATTTCTTTATAAGTAGAAAGGGCATGAAACTCAGTATTACGTTCCTTTCAGACGTATACAAATAAAAAGAACGATAAAATGATAAAGGAACACGTACTGCGCTGACGCAGCGACTCAAAGTGGGTCTTTGCGTCCGACACAAGATATCGCCAGCGCCGCTTATCCTGCACAATCTCCTGCCACTCGATTGCTCATTCATCTTTTACATTTAAACCTATATTATATTTCAGCACGATCATTCCTGAGCGCTGTAAACAAAGACTGGGACAGTACACTGGAAATTGGAAAACCTATTGCTGACGCTATAGTAAAGAACACCTTTGAAAATCTAAAAGCATTTTTCCTTAGAGTGCCAATTGAGGATCTTCTATAAGCTTAAATTATGTAACTTAAGACATAATTATATTTTTAAGTAATAAAGAATTTCGAACAACTCTATATTGCTTTATTTTAGTATATTAAAGTTATCGCAAATCATATCCATATCCACCTAACATGCCCGGCTTCGTCTGCGTTGCGTTTATCCATTATCGATGGTGTGACCAGACTCCAGCGGTCAAGTCAGTCGGTGTGTCAAGTGGCTCTATAAACATAGATCTTTAAACTTAAAACAAAGGAATTCTTCATAAGTATAAGTTTTTTAAAAATTAAACCAAGATAAACATTATTTTCTTTAACTAAAGGAACAAGGTTACCTCGTTTTTAATGACCCATTGGTCACCTATATATGATCTTCATCATCATCAACCTGCCCTTATCGCTACGGTGAGTTGGCACAGTATGTACTACTCCTCCATACATCTCTATCAGCTGTCATATCTGAATCTACCCGCTTCCTACCCATATCCTCTTTCACACAATCCATCCATATATTCTTCGGTCTTCCTCTACCTTTGTAGCCATCCACATTCAATCTCAGTTTTGATTATATCTCTCCGCATAACATGTTCAAACCACGCTAACCTTTTGCTCCTCAATTTCTCGATCATGTCCTGTAGCACATACTATAATAATGCTTTGGCTTTAAATTTTATCACTGGCTGGCCGTCTGCCTGTCGCCATTAAAAACAGATATTGAAACTATTTTTAACTTACATAGAGTCCATATTCTTTCCGTCATCGAACTCATCAGTCGAAGAGAAAGAAAAAGGAAAACTTCCGCTTGATGTCTATGCTGGTGCTTCACCATTCTGTTATTATATATTATGGCCATTATATATGTTATATTAAAAATATATGACATTCATATATGTAAAAAATATATTCTACAAGTTTTCGATGTTAACAACAACTTTATATTACACCATATTATTTTAATGCTATTATGATTCCAAAATTTGGCAAAATGTCAACACTTATCTGGAATGAATATTAATTAGATCAGTACGCTTTTTATGGAATGCAAAAAACATGCATCCAAAATATAAAATACTCAATAAAGGTCAAGGAAAGCGAGCTTACGATGCGATACAATAACGATAGCGATGGTTAATAAACATGGACCATGACAATATTCTTATACTTATATTCTTAACACGACAACAATTTTATAATTTATTTATTTATCATATTCTTAAAACAGTACATTTCATATACAAAATAAAAAATTATACAAAATATATTAAATTCAAAACAGAACACCACCGGCTGCGGAATCCCATGACTCAAACAACCAGTGATCAGGGCTGCAGAGACAGGAACCTTCTCACGATGCGCGCGGTTTCTAGGATAACTGCCTATTGTATCGGGCCCTTAATTCAACTGTTTAGCGAGAGCTTCTTGAGATCTATAAATTTGGATTTACCCACCGACATCCACTTAAATCCGTAAAGACATTCATAGGATACTAGCTATCGCTTGTCACGCGGAATTGAAATAAAAACTTAATTAGTAGAGTTTGTGTTCTTGCAGAATATGTTCTACATCAATGCAATTTCCCTGAAATTCATGCCGCCGTTCTGAAGATACCTTCTAACATACTTCCGTTTTTATACTTAGTAAGCGAAATTTGAATCGCTTTGAAAATTTTTCATCTGAACTTAATAATTACCGACCTCGAACCATTCTAGCATATCTTAGGTACATTTAAAAGTCCAGTAACCAAACACTTAAACCCTACTGACTAGATAATTGGTTACTTAGAGGTAGACCCTCATTGCAGATTTCTCATACTAACTCAGAGTGTCCGTCCTGGTCTTCCTTAGTATGCTTAGTGTACATTAAGTACATGAAATGTTTACTTAGAGATACCCTTAATAATAATTTAGAAGTCAGAATACGGTAGTCAGTCTTCTTTAAAATCCTTTAGAAATTTACGCGTAAATTACATCGCTAAAGAAAAAGTACTTTACGCAAGATTATTTGCAGAATTTATTATGTTTACCGGATCAGGTTATATCAAAAGTATAATACTTTATTAATTTCAATTCTATCAGATAAAATGTACAAAAAATTACATACAATCCACTTTGCAGATACTTTAACACAGGCGCTTTATTTGAAAAAAATTACTATCGCTTCTATTTATACTATTGCTATTTAGTTATAAAAAGCTACATTTTGTTAACTAACTTAACCTAACCATTAAAAAATCACATAAATATTTACAGACTTAATAACACAAAATCAATTTATATTTCTAATATTTTGTTTTTTGGCTATTTATTATTAACGAGTTTAGTAGATACCATAATCTATTGTCATTTAATTTCACCATAAAATATTATGTCAGTTACCGCAATAAACTATAAACAATATATTAAGTTTAAGATAGCTATTTATTTAGAGTTGCTGATTATGACAAAATATTGATGTGTTTTTGCTAAAAAATATATTGTTAACTATAGTTTAATCTTTTTTCCTAACTTTAGTTATTATTTTTGTTCCTAAAAACCTTGCTTTTTCTATCTATTATATTATAGTTATTTTGATATTTTATTACTTTTGGGTCTAGTTCTACTTTGAGTAACACGATGTCTTCTACAATGACTTTTTGTTAATTGTTGTACCTACCCCTAACAATACATCTCCCCATTTCCATCCTTAAACGTCTCGCTATAAGCCCTGATATATTCTTCCCTGACAGCCATTTTTATTAAATCTTATGGAAAAATATTAGACATCCTAAATATAAGTAGGACATGAAATATAAATAAAATAGCTATTACTAAATTTTAAGAAGCTTGAATTACTCAATAATTATGAACATTATCTATTAGTTTATTAGTTTTCTAATCATAATTTTGTCATTTGACCCAATGACAGAGCAAAATAATAAGTATATATACTGAAGACTTTGGTAAGTTTGTATCAGTCGCTTACTGGTGGCATTTCAAGAATCATAGAAGGATTTGGTTACCTTAAAATACGTGAAGATTACAAAAATGTACATCTTTCTTGTCATTTTGAGTTTTGCTCTACACTGCTCCTGCAACACAATTGGTATCGTATTTTCTTGTATAATTTTCTATATAATCATGACATATTAACTACTTAGTATATACAACTGTAGTTACTACTAGTAATTATTATTTTATTATAAAATAAAATTATAAATTGATTGGAAAAAAAAAATTTCTTTGGTTTGAACAAAATGTTAAGACAAGTCAACACATCCGCAAACGTTTTTAACGTGTAACCAAACAATTTTTATGTACACACAATGAAAACAATATCTAGGATAGGACAATTTTATTTTATCGTATAATCAAAGAAAGTGTTTTCTGTTTTTCTAGTGCCGTTCATCAAAGCTTGCAATCTGAACGACGAGGATTGTCTCCTGACCGCTAACATGCAAATCGCTTATCCCTACATCGCCGATGGGATTCCAGAAATCGGTGTCCCACGAATGGATCCCATGAATTTCGAAAACATCACAATGTGGGCGGAACAAAATAATTTCAGATTCATGTTGCCGTATTTACAAATACGCGGTGGAAGAAGGTGTAGAGTTGTTGAGTTCAGGTAAATATTAAGATTGCCAGAGCTACGTATGCTTAAGAAAAAGAGAAAAAATCTGCTAAAACTTCCTTTTATTCACAGACAACTCCGTGACCAATCAGCTATAAAACTAATCGTCGATTGTCCAATGATAGGAACTGGTACATACAAATTCAATGGAAAAATGCTAATATTCGATATCGACAAGGAAGGTGATTTCAGAATGCAAACAAGTAAGTTTCCTTAAAAATATTAATAATTAAATAAGAAAACCATTCTGAACATAGTTAATCTATAATTACAGATTCAATGAGGACTACAATTACAGCTAAGTTTGAGAAAGTCTTTATAAATGGAAAGAATTACTGGAAACTTTTGACCTATGAATTTTTCAGTGAGCCTAGGGAATCCATGAACATTGATTTGGCTGGTCTCTTCTCTGGTGACCTTGAACAAGGTACAATTTATTTTTATTTCAATTTTAAATTGTGCCAAAAATATGAAGAATAAATACTATTTTCTTTAATGACATACTTTCATTAAAGCTTCTTAGTTTAAAAGTAATTTTGATTGTTATTAAAATTTACGTGTGAGATTTAAAAAAAGGCCTTGTAAAGATTGAATGCAGTTAAATCTAATAGTGAGTTCTTGGTTGGGGATAATGATAAAATGTTTTTTCTGTTGTATTTTTCAGTTCAACCAATGATGAACGTCTTCAACAAGGATATGACGACCATCTGGCAAGTCGGCGAGCCCATCGAGAATGGAATTGCAAAGAATGTCTTCAATACACTCAAAATCTTCTTCAATAGAGTGCCAATTGATGAGTTTTTGCAACATTAGATATCAATTCTTGAACTACTTTAAACAATAAATATTTTCTGAACATTATTTCCTATTGCTTTTAATTCTGACTACTTAAAATGTTTGTTGTAATTTTTATCATACTGCCTTGACAAAACTTTTAGTTGCATTTTCGTCTCGGTATTTATATCAAAGTCAGATTCCTTTGGAAACCTATGAAAATATTTAGATAAGCGATACAAAAGAAAACTACTGACAAAGAAAGCTTAACTAGAATTAACATAGAATTAAAGAACTATGGAATTATGAAGAACCAGAAAGAAGTAACTACTTACATACAGAACATACTTTATGGATCGGGACCCTTAAGTTGTAGTCTTCCAATATCCACCAACACAGTTTAACTACTAGAAAAAAATAGTCGTACGGTCTTATAGGCGTATACTTATCTATATACAAACCCAGTTATAATACGAAAAAACAAATAACAAAACGTTTTAGTACTAAAAATTCAGTAAGTGGAATAAACATGAAACTTTATCCAATAACACGTCATGTGTATAAATCAATACCAACATTCAACTGGTGTGATTTATTTGACATATTCGACTTGTTCGATTTGTTCTGATAATGTTGTTTACGTTTCAAATGTTTGTTTTTATTATAAATAAATGATACCTTCACGAGTTCCAGAGAAAAAATGTTTTGACAGACAGACGGAGGGACAACGAAGTGATCCTATAACGGGTTAACTTTTTTTTATTTAGAGGAAAGGAAGCCTAAAAACATATTTTAGAAATGCGCCGAAACGAGGAATTGCTTCCACTTCACACAGGTGTAAAATGGAAGCAATTCCGCGTTTCATCTGATGAGTGTGAGTGTCTGAGGCCTAATTTTAGTCCACGTTCTTTTCCCACTATTTGATTCTAAGGAAATATATCTAGTAAGGTAAAGTAAGAGGAGTCAATTTGGCGGAGGAGGGAGAAGGAATATCCTCTTTCTGTGCGTCGCTTCCTGTGTTAATTAAACGTAGGCAATACAGATGACCATGAGCAGCAAGAGCTTCGTTATTTGTCCTAATTCTGATAATTCCGTCCTCGTTTGCACTTATAAAACAAATGGATGGTCATCTTTTCCAGATGTAAACTTTGATAGATGCATTCTTAATAATCTGACGAAATCTTCCACTAATAAATATAATTTATCGCTTTATTAAATTGACTTTTAGCATAGTTTTTTTAGAATTTAATGTCTAAATTATACTGTAAATGTTACATTTATTGCATCTTATATGATTTTCAAGCGATTAAGTAATGAAATAATAATTATTAGTTAATTTTCTATAATATTTAAAAAACAACTCTACGAATTCATAACTTTTTTTAATATCAGAAGGTGGGAAACAAGCGAGCGGTCACCTGAAATCGCTGAAATAGCGAAGTGACCGTTGCCCATAGACATACACAATTGCATATGCGTTGCCTACCTTTAATCGACGGAGGAGGGGATGCACAGAAAGAAAATATCTCCCTGTCTTATGTGTGGTCGTGGTATTTCACCGCGCTAGCCGGGCCAATTTGTGCAAAGATGTTAAAGCGGGCTCTACCACTTCTACTTATTTCTTAGACTATTTGTAGACCTTGCTATAGTGTGGAACCTAGTACTTATTTAGTACCCAGTTCTTACTCAGATACTAGGTGTCGCCTGCGACTCGATCCGCGAGGATTTGAAAAAAAAGTTAATTAGTAGCCTATGTGGTCTTCCAGACTAGATATATCATTTAAAAAAAAAATTATACATACATCCAAACGTTCGCATTTATGTTATTAAGATTAATCCTTGATAACTGTGATTACGATAGACTAAATTCTATCTGATTAAATTGGAAATGTCCAGATAATCTCGACCATTATACGTATTAATTAACGTGAAAGACTAATCTGCGAATCATATTGGAGTTAATGAACTAACAGATTTTAGGGTAAACAAATCGGTTGCACTCACACAATTAGTTGTCTAATAATTGCGGGCCTGTCGTATTAAAAGTTTAAACAATTTAGTAAAGAATTTCAAGAATTCTAATTCTAATTTCCCGTTTCAATTTGGGGACTTAATTCATGACGTATCGTTCTCTCTATACGAAGCAAATGATATATTTATGCACACAATAATCGAAATATCGTCAATCATCAGTTTGTCAGTGTGCTTAGTGATTTATAAAATACATACTCTTAAATCAAAAATTATTTTTGTAAACAAATTGAAATCAATAAAGGTTTTTTGTTTCATAATTCGCTATATCTTACTTCTTACTAATATTATAAATGCGAATATTTAGATGGATGGATCGATGTATGTTATGTTTGAAGGTATCTCCGGAACGACTCAACGGTTTTGAGTGAAATTTGGCACACGTAAATAGTCTGGAAGAACACATAGTAAGTTATTACGTTTTTAATTCTGCGCGGACGGATTCGCGGGCGACAGCTAGTCTAATATATATTATCTGTTTGTTTTCTTTTTTTTTAATGACAATGCCTTTTTCTACAAATATTGCGGGAGTGGTAACTAAGAATAATTTGTTAATTTGATTTTAGGAGGTTGAAAATAATTTATAAAACTCAGAATTTGAAGTACAAAACCAATAAACATTGTACCAAAGGGATTTCTAACAAAAACAAATGAATATAACTTAAACAATACGATAAATTCTTTTTCAGCTAAAGCTTTTAACGAAATGCAAATAAACGTAACGCCCGAAACCTTTGTAACAAACCGCATGCCGCTCCTCACTAAAACCAATTTACTGTTCGCAAGCGAATGGCATTTTGCATGCAAACGCATATATGTTGAACTTTTGTATTTAACATTACTATGTACAGTCAGCTGCATAAATATGTAAACATTTGCAAAAACTTCAGAAACTTGAAAACGCCTTCGATTTTCAAAGAAACGTCAACACATATTCGACAATAGGTAGCATTCATAATTGGAAGTATGAGAATGGATAAGTGCATACATATTTTTTAAATTCGAAGGCATAAACAATATTCTAAAGTTTGATAAACGTTTACGAATTTATACAGCTGATTGTACATATTTATCATTATGTAGTCTTATTTAAAACATTTAAGTAAAATTTACTTGAAACTAGCTATCGCCTGCGACTCCGTCTGTGCGGAATTTAAAAGAAATACAATTAATAGCGTATGTGTTCTTCCAGACTATTTTCTATATGTATGCCAAATTCTATCAAGATCCGTTCAACCGTTCCGGATATACCTGCAATCAAACATCCATCCATCCATCCATCAACATCAATATTCGCATTTATAATATTAGTATGATTACTTTCTAATATAGCTGGCAAGAGTAATTATAAAAATTATCTACTACTGATATGAGAAAACAATTACATGGGTCGAGCGAAATCGTATTATAATTAGAAGACCTGATGTCGAACTTGTAATGAGTTCACAGCGTTAATTGCGCGGACTCCGATTTAAATATATCGGCAGCAGTATTCAGTGCAACGACCGCGACCACACCACGTGGCATTCGGTATTTCAGTACTGCCATTAGAATTCAAATGCCTAGCTATTTACAGAACTCCTGAACCTAGTTTATTTTGTAACCGCTTCAAACTCCTTCCATCCGTTACAAGCGTTACAAAATATGCAAGCAAGGTTTATAGCCATGCCAAATTTCAGCTAGATCCATGCTGCCGTTCTAGAGATACCTTGTTATAAACCTCCATCTATCCAATTATACATACATTCAAATAATCGTATTTATTATATTAATAAGAAGTAAGATGTAATGCATGGTTGTTTTTCTTTGAAAGCCTTTTTTTATAAATTCTCAAAATCTCTGAATTAAATACTTCCCTTTATTGTAAACCTATTAATTAACATTATAATGTTAAAGAACATTCAAAGAAACAAATGATAGAAAAACGGCTCATTTTAGTCTGAATAAACTTTTTATGTTACTCTTAATTGTATTTGATTCAGAGCTTTCATTGTTTTGAAATTATGCGCTCTATTTATTTTACATTAATTTCTCCATACGACAAGTTTTTATATCATTATATCAATAACTAAATGGCTTACTTATTGACAAAATCATATGTTTGCCAGTATTTTAATGTGTTTGTAAGTATGTGTATTTCATTGTCATCAAAGTATATTTTTTTTTTGTTAAATTACTTGTCTATATAACAAAAGCAATCTATACCTTTTTAAACAATTGCCGTCTGAATTTTTGGCGCAAGTTATGCTAAGTCCATAACGATATCCTAACAGAATGAAATAAGTTCATCAAATTATAACCACAGTATGCAGAATGTGTGTGTTTTCTCATTTTTATTCCGCTCCGCGGTGCAAATAACGAGCCATTATTTTAAGCTTCGTTATAGGCGCCCATTTCGCCATATACTTTTTACAAGCTCTTATTTAATTTAACTTTTCCGTCCCGAGGATGGCGAAAAGCTGAAAGTTCGAAATAAATTTGTTACCGCAACTAACCAAACTATTTGAAAATAGGCAATAAAAAATAGCAAAGTTATTGGAGTTTCGAAATGCGTTTATAATATTTTGCTCATATTTTATAACAGGCACATTATTATCACATCGTAATAATCAACTTTTCGTGTGTCTCCATTGCCGAAACATCTATTCACAATCGTGTTATATCAGTTTTTTTTTAATAAGATATATGAAATTTTTTTTTCGGCAGTCCAAGTCCAACGTTAGGTCTAGATATCATCAAAATGTAGTACACTTACCGCGGTTAAACTAAAAAATAATACAAATATAATATTGTTAAAAGTAAAATTTTTATACAGCGCCCGCCACTAAAGACCGTCAGGGAATTCAAAAGCAATTAAAAAGCTTTCAGATTATGCAAACAGTTTTAAGTTTTACTTTTTTAACTTTTACGTGACCTAATTTCATTAGTGTAGCTTCGTACTTTGAGATTATACTATAGTTTTACTAAAACCTAATCGGTTTGTGTTCTATTGTTTGAAACAACGTAAGTTGTAGCTCTTTTGAATAACCGTAGAACACCCCTGCCGTAAAAGTTGA